TTGTCTGAGCTGAAGTGAGCATGCGTCATGGATGAACCGTCACTAGGACAAGTAACAGAGCTGTGTAGCTACGGATCTTCAAGCCGTTCTCCTGAGCTGGCCCTGGACCATAACTTTTATATACATTATCTCGTTTCTGCTCCAAAGCCATACAGACATTCTTTTCCTTACAGGCAAAGTCGGGGTCTTAGAGTTCATTTTGCCTACGGAGAGGTAGGAAATTCCCAGCTCCATTTCAACCACAAGTCTGTCTTGAAGCCCCAGTTCTGTATTCTTTTTTGTTTAATATTCTATTTCAGAATATCCTAAATGTAGTGTTTCAGAAATGGGAATGATTGCTTTTAGGAACGACTTCCCAGAGACATTGGTATTTGTGTTGAGAAATGAAGGCTGGCTGACTAGATGGACTGGAAGCATTGGGGGAGGGGGGACTGAGGGGGCCAAGGGGTGGGGCTGAGAGGGTCAAGGGGTGGAGCTGAGAAGGTTAATGGGTGGGGCTGGGGGGGAGTCAAGGAATCATTCCAGGCAATAAAAACATTAACTTCAAGCAAATCAAGAAGTTGGGGTTCTAGCGAGGTTTGAGGAAAGTCCAGTTGGATTAAAATGAACCAGGATTGGAAAAGATAGATGGGGCCAAAGGAAAGACAATAGTCATTACTATAGTATACGGGTTCATTATTAGAAATTTGAGAGCTTGGCAGCAGGACAGAAGAAATAATAAAAGTTTAACTTTCCCTAAGTGAAGCTTAGTAAAATCTCAAATTATCATCTGAAGCGAGGTAGGTTATTAATATTCTCTGTTTTTCCTTCTCAAGTGACAGTCATTATTATAATGAGGGATCTCCAAAGTAATTTGTATTTCTTGGAAAGAAAGTATTAAAAATTTAAATGCTTTCACGTATTAATTCGTGAACCTATGCTGCTTTGGAATATTAACAAACATATCCAACACCTAGGAATGCTACAGCAAAGTGAACAATACATTGTTTACCCACACTACTCATTAGTCACACTTCCCTAGAGATAATTTGTCAGTCTTTTACTTAATCCCATGGCTTATTATCTGCTCAAAAAGGAGGGTGGTATTTTATTCATAGCAAGACTGTGGTCAATTCTTATTATAGACATGGATCTTTTGCATATTCAAATCTACTTGGAGATATTTGTTTTCTTATGCCCTTCTGAAGACATATATTTTTAAAGTGTTAACGTAGCTGTTCTCAGCATAAACATATGAACATATACACATGGTTGTGTTTATTTTTCTCCCATTTAGCTATTAGTGATTATTCCAAAAATGCTCAGTTTAGCACTTCCCCATTCTCGGAATTTAGTTGCTCATGAAGAAGAAAAGAGACTGCACTCAGTCTCTCCCCCCCTTTTTCCTCCCCCCGCCCCCTTTTGAAATACACGAAAATTATTTTTGCAAGGCTACAACTTGTTTGCCATACCACTGAGTCAGAGATAGACTGCAACTCTGTCTTTTGACTAGCAAGCAAGAATTCAAACAAGCCCGATCATGCATGAAGGCATCTAATGGAATTCAAATATAAATATAATTGACTAAAGCCAGAAGCGCAAAATTTGTGTAATTTGCATGGCAAGGGCAGGGTTAATAAATGAGAAGAAAAAGACCCAGGAGCAGCTTCCAGAGAGGCAGAGATTCGGGAGCTGAGCATTTCCCCGAGCTTGTCTGAAATGGGAGTTGATCAAGCAATTAATACAGTTAAAAACACAAAAGCACCCTAGGACCTTAATCTACCTGAGGAAAGCAATCCAAACCAAATACATAAAATTGATTGACTAAGACAACTTTCCAGTGAGGTGGAAAGTCTCATAAAAATCCTGAAATGGAATACAAGGAACAAGGTCATTTGGCCCATCCTGTCTGTCAGCACTGAATTATTTCATCGTGATTAAATACAGCTCAGTTGGTGTGGGTGGGACTCCATTTTGACTAATGAATCTACACTAAAATTCTGGTTACTATTTAAAGTGATTCTTCCCATCCCACTTTATACCCTTCTCAACCACACCCACAGAAATATTCTCCATTGTAAAATAAAGAGTATTAAAGACTAGGAGCTGGGATTTGGGATTTGAGTTCTTGCCCTCTATGGCCTTCGGTTACTAAAGATACAACATGCTACCATATTGTGTGGTTAGAAAAAATAATAAAATTTGTCTTCTATCTGTCTTTGGCGATGGCCAAACTAGATGGTAAGCTTTGGTAGTCTAGGGGTGGTGTCTGCTTTTGTATAGCATCACATCCTGTTTCCTGGCATGTTACCTTAAAGTTTACTCAACTAATACTCCCTGCGTGTCCCCAGCCTTCTTTATGGACACATCAAGAACCAGTTGGGGACCAAGACTTTGCATCAGAACCTCTCCTTTCAAATAGTTGCTGAAAAGATTAATATTTGAATGTATAATGTGGATTTATATACTTCATAAGTTGGGTGGTCTTGCTCTACGAAGAGGGGATACTTTTCAGAGGAATCACTCTTCTGAAAAGTTTGGGAAGAAAGTTAAGTAATTGAACAAGGTTAATTAAAGTAGACCTCTAATAAACCACAGTTGGATAATTTGTGGATAGGGTTCAAAATTCACACCAATTTGTAAGCTTGGAAACTGACATCTCAAAGCTGGTTCACCAGGCAGCTGACTCCAGTCTTGCCCTCAGATCTCTTCACCATGGCTAGGGGTCTTCGAAGTAAAGCTTGGGAACTAGGTTCTAGACAGCTGTTGGGTAAAACTCAGGTGTGCATTGCAAAGGAAACACTCCTGCTCACACATACAGGTATTTCATGATTCAGGCGACCTTCGAGGACAGAGATTAATACTGCCAGATGCTTCAATGAACATAGAATCCTGTGATACACTTAATACTATCGGCATGGAACACAGCTGTGTGGAACTTCTGGCAACTCAATATTTCACTATAGGGCAGTGGAAGCAAAAATATAGCTTCCACTATATTGGGGAGGTTTCCTTTTCCTCTAAGGTAAACTCCCTGCAGTACCTCATAAAACTAAACCCCAGGTGATATAACCAGTGGTTCTCAACCTTCTTAATACTGTGACCCTATGAAGCAGTTCCTCATGTTGTGGTGAGCCCCAACCATAAACTTATTTTCATTATTACTTCTTAATTATAATGTTGCTTCTGTTGTGAATCTTAGTGTAAACATCTGTTTTCTTTTTTCCTGATATTCTTACGTGATCCCTATGAAAGGGTCATTCAACCCTCAAGTCATGTCCCACAGGCTGAGAACCACTACTGTTGTATGTGTATAATACATAGTCTCTCTGATCAAAACCACTGAAATAGAATGAAGCCCTGTTTCAGGAGCCATGAGGTTGCCCAGGATACTGTTTGGGGTTGGAGGCAGATAACAGTGACAGCACAAAAATTCAATGAGGCATGGCCAGGTAGAGTTCAGAGAGACACAATCTGACTAAAGGTATAGGTACTTTATCTGTGACTAAGGAAGTTGTGGGGGAGTGTCAGTCCTAATGGGCCAGCCTAATGGACCAGTTTGCTTTCCAAACAAATAGGCCATGGAAGTCTCTAAGAACTAGGGGGAAGTACCAGTGTGGTACCCTTTCATACATTGCTTTCTTTCACCAGATATTTACTTAAGGTGACCTGCAATGACAGAGAAAGAGAAGATGGCCTCTGGTATCTTTCCCCTCCAGTTCGTCTCTGTGGTCAGCATACTGCTGATAGAATATTAGATGTGTATAGATCAAGTGAAACTGAGATGCCCAGCTGGACCTGTTGCAGAATCCCCATTCTCCTGGTACGATCTAAACATGCATGCACATTTGAGTGATTCTGTGTGCTAGTTAGCTGCTCTTACGTTTGAACTAAAACTTGAAGCCTACAGTGTGAAAATGAAGCAGAGGTCAGCCATGATGCTCACTGATAAAATACTCACTGGCACAGGTAAGGCCCTGGGTCTCTTCCCCACCCCAATAAATCAATCATAGAAAAATTACATTTAAAATGTTTTTATTTACATAGAATAACATTAAATAAAATCTAAAAACCACACACACACACACACACACACTAGCCAGGAGTAGTGGCTATATTAGGTTCTTGAGTTCTTACTGTGATTGAAAAAAAAATACCCTGTCTGACAAAAGCATTGGGTCAGGGAAATGGATCAGTAGATGTATTTCCTTCACATGCCTGATAACTAAAGCTAGAGAGAGGGTCCAGGGTTCAGAGTTCGTGGAGAGTGTCTATCACAAGGGGAAGGTAAAGAAAGCATCGAGAGCTGGAGGCAGCTGGCCACATGGCATCCACAATCCAGAAGCGGGAAGTGATGGATGGTAGCATCCAGTCAAGTTTTCCATTTTATACAGTCCTAGATCCCTAGGGAATGTGCTCATTCATAGTTCAGATTGGTCTTCTCACAATATTAATATAATCAAGGTAAGCTCCGCCCTGTCCCGCCCCACCCCATCCCACCCTACTCCACCCTGGCCATGCTCAGAGGAGTCCCAGGGTACTCTAGATTCTGACCAGTTGACAACACTATCACAGTAACACAAGCCTAAAACTCTATATACTCTGGGAGTCCAGGCAGGATGAGGAGTTCAAGGTCAGCCTTGGTTACATAATGAGTTGGAGGCCAGTCTGGGTTAACATGAGACTGCCCAAACCCAAAAGGAAGCAAAAAAAAAAAAAAAAAAAGAAAGAAAGAAAGAAAGAAAAAGCCCCACCATGCCAAATTAAAGAAAGAAATAAAACCCCCACAATTTTTGCAACTTTGGTGATACCATTCTCCTTCTTATTGAATAAGTACCCATTTTCATTTTTGCAGATTTTGTATCCAGCCTTGTGTAAAAGAAATAGCAAGAAGGCATTTACTTATTCTCTACAGCTTGATTAATGACATGGTTCTTATGAAACTTCTCAACAGAACGACTCTCTTAGTGATGTTTTCTTTCCAACCCATATTCACCAGTTTCCAGGAGCAGGTGCTCACATTAGCTGTGGGAAAGGGGATTAAAGTTCAGGGCCAGCTCACTGAAATCCATTAGTGTCCTTAAGCCTCTCCCAGATCACAGTTTCATCTGTATTTTTCCAAATAATTGCAGATGTTGATACTTTACAGACAAGACGTTGGCTGTTTCAGTAGTGATGTACAAGCACACTGGCATCTTCTAATGGTACCCACTGTGTTCATTGACACCTAATTGGTCATGTGCATCCCAAAGCCAGAAGGAGGGTTGCAAGAATTCCTGCTGTGCTACCTGGTTCAGACGCTGTACGCACAGGTCTCCTCGTCCTCTGTCTTCAGCTCAGCTTCTAAGTCGGCGTGTTGGAACAGCTCTAAGTCATCTCATCCACGTTTCTCCGCTGCTGGATTCCTGTGAATAAGAATAATTCCAGCGCTCTTAGCTTCTTGTTCTGATGTTTCCTTAGCTACCTGATGTCTTTTACTCCGATCTGCGGTGTCTCCTTCACCATCTCCCAGCGCAGTTGGCTAAGACTGATTGAATGCCTCTAAACTAAAGGATCGGGTTCTGTTTGATTCCCTTTTGGATGGGGAATTGATTTGTGAGGTCTCCGTGCACTCTGAGAAAAAAACACTTTATGTTTTTAGTTTTTGTTTCCACTTAACAGTGGAGCCTGAGATCTTATTTTATAGCCATCAGATTTCTCTTCTTTCAACATCTAGCGGCAAGACATCAACGGAGATAGATGAGGCCTCCAAGTGGCCGGCTTCTCTCTATATCTGACACTTAAAAAAAAAAATGAATAACCACTTCACACCTGTCTGAAACAGCACCCAGCAAACTTTCAGAAATCCCTGTCACTATTTTAGACTTTTCAAGCCACATAGTATCCAGTGCGGTCTATGTAAATTAATGAATTCATGAGAGTGGCCATGTTCCAACAATTTTTAAAACTTATTTTTGCAAAAGCAGGTGGCAGGCTGGATTTGGCCTACAGCCCATAGCGTGAAACCCTAAATGAAGTATATATCTTAGATATTTCTCCTGAATCCTCTTCAACCTCTTTTTCTACTCTCTTTACAAACACATGCTTCTACTGGTCCCACTCTGACCCCTGTGGGTCTTAGTATTTCAAAAATGACTCCTACCTCTGGTTAATGTGACTTAAATCTGTGGCTTTAATGAGCTCCACAATGGTTTCTAAACTTATTTAGGGTCATCCTAAACTTATTTATTTTGAAATAGTTACGACTCATTGTCTTTCTCCAGAATGGGAGAATTCTCTAGCTGGTGAGGGGAATCATCCTTTTTTTTTCTGACCAGATTCCCCACTGTAAATATTATTAAGCCCCACTGACTAAAATGAATCTTCTTTTATCCCCCTTCTTCACAGGTATCTGAGGGTCTTTTACTCAGCTTGCCTCTTGGATGAATAACCAACACTGCTTCTGTCAGTATTCTAAACTAGTGGGTGGCTAGAAGTGGTCCAAACAGGATGTATTACCTTGCCAAGAAATTAGAGCCCCAGGCCCCACTAAGACTTCCGGTCTTGTGGAGAGGGAGCTGGAGATGAAGAGAGCCTGGCCTTCTGCCAAGGATGAGAAGTCCCACAGCCTTTTGGCTTTTAGGCCACATGTAAAGAACAAGGCATGAGCCAGGTGCTGGAGGGAGACAGCAATGGACGCATCTAGTGAGGGGAAGAGAGCCAGGCTTTCACACAAGACGGATGTCAATAGCTATTCCTGCCTTGTGTGCCCCTTGAAGCTAAAACAGGGATGGGTCTAACATCTGGGATGGAGAACCTGAATGTTTCTGTGAAGCTTTTCAATTGGTCTTCATCTTTGTTGGTGGAGGGGATGAAGGAGGGGAGTGAAAGGGGGGAGGATGCCTATTTCATTTGTCTAAAGCCATTATTAATCTTCTGTTAATGGTGTCTTGCTTGGACTATGAGAAGAATCTTCTAGCTCCTGCTTCCTACACAGCAGGTGGTCATGATGCTCTCAGGAACCTCTCATCTCAGTCCAGCCAGCTGATTGAATTCTTAATAGGAACAGAAAAAAAGGAATGATTAATAAAGAGAGGAGGAAGGGAGGGAGGGGAGAAGGAATGAGGGAGGAAAGGAGAAAAGAGGGGCAGAAGTAAGAATCCTCACTATCGATTAGGAAAGTGGCTTAGGAATCTTTACAATTTTAGCATCAGGATTATATTATCCAATTTTCTATGTAAAGTGCTATTTCTCTGTCTGATCATCTTGAAGTTTATTATCTTAAGCAGATGATGAACCACACAGTAATTATTCACATGCCTTTCTTCTTTTTCCTTTCAACATAAATTTTACAATGTAAAACCGCTAAGTTTCCTGAATATTTGAGTTTTGGATGTGGCGGTTACCATGAAGTTGGGTTGCACATCATAATGTTGTAATCATTTCTTTGTAAGTTCTTTGTTATAGATCACCCAGCCAATTTTAATCTATTTTTTAAACTACAAATGGGAAGATTAAACTTTTTTCTTCGGAATTGATAATATTGAATCATGAGGATAATATATAGTTTATTTTTTATTGTAGATATTGTGTGTGTTGTTTCTATTACTGTATCAGATAAAGATCTTTTCCCCTACTAAACAGTCCTTCCAATAATGAGTCATGACTGGACTTGATTCAGGAGTCAAGTTTCCATGCTTCCTGAGCGGGTGTCTGTAAGATTAGGAGAAATCACTATGGGTGATAGTGGCTACAGACATGCTGAGAATGCAGAGGTAGGCAGCACATGTCAAATGCACAGCGCACACACTGTGACTACTCAGTGCATGTAGCTATTTGCCAGCGTGGTTGAGTGTCAGCTGGATGGGGGCGAACACCTTATCTAGAAAATTATTTGAGGGACAATAACCCCTTTTTAAATTTATGTTCAACGGCAAAACTCCTATGTAGAGGCCTTAAAAATGCACTGTTTGGGAGGAAAATCAGAGAGGTTAGCAAAGCGGCCATTTCTGATACAAGCGGAAATGGAGCCAGTGTTCTGGCTGCACTGTGAGCTGTCTGACCACCCATACTGTAGGGACAGCATCGAGAGCTGGAAGCAGCCGGCCACATGGCATCCACAATCCAGAAGCAGGAAGTGATGGATGGTAGCATCCAGTCAAGTTTTCCATTTTATACAATCCTAGATCCCTAGGGAATGTGTTCATCCATAGTTCAGATTGGTCTTCTCACAACATTAATATAATCAAGGTAAGCTCCGCCCTGCCCTGTCCCACCCCACCTCACCCCATCCTGCCCCGCCCTGCCCTGCCCCACCCCACCTCACCCCCATCCTGTCCCGCCCCACCCTGCCCCAGGCATGCATAGATGCACTGCTGACTTACTCCATGGAGACTTCCATTAGCTACTACATCTGCACAAGCCTTTACATTCTGACTTAGAAAGATCGGATGGACAGCAATTCACCACCTTGCTTTACGAAGCAACTTCATGAGCCTGCTTTGAAACTTCTGTTATTCTGGATTAGCAAAGATTTTAAATAAATGTAGGCACGAAGGCTTTTGTAAGGAGGTCACTTCACGGATTTGTCACATCGGCTGAGTTTGATGATGCATACATGCTTAGCGTAGGCTAGCGCATATCTTAATATTGCCTCCTGATTTTACCCATAAAGTAAGTGTGACTTTCCCACCACTAAGAAGAAATGTAAAAGGTTTCTGCTTCCCTTGTTTCTAGAGAATGTGTGTACTTGGACCTATAAACTTGAAGAAGATCTAGACTAAGCCCTTGTAAACAGAAACAGCCACCAAGGTTGAAAATAATATAAAAAGCTCTTAACTATACACACATACATACATATGTAGTACACATGCAGTCTATCTGAGGATTCCATTCAAGTCTTGGCTAATTGAAACACAGATGAATCTACACTTGGGAAGTAAGGTCTAGCCTCGTGCCCCAGCCAGCACAAGGAATGAGCTCACTGCCCATTCGAGTGTCAGTGATCATGGCAATGGAGGTCATCCTAGAAAGGAAGCAATAGAAAAGTCAATCCCCAGTCCTGCTTGAAAACATCCCAGAATAATTCCAATTGCCTCAAGAGATAGAATGAGATTTCCAGAAAATTCCCTGAGATGTTTAATTCTTACCTAAACTGGTTTGAAATTTTCATTATGACTCATTACATACAAATAACAAAGTCCAACAACCCCCAAACTAGACAAACTAAATGCTGGAACCAGACCTGGAAGAAAAAATAAAATCACTGGCTCAATGCAGAATGAACCTTAGTGGCTCTGACAGAAACTTCCTTGCCTAATATATTCATTATATTTCGCTACATTTCCATTTTAATTATCATGAAGAAAAGGCAGCCACCCTTTTGCCAAGTGCGGTAATTTATACTTGCAATGGTAAGATAAGTAATACCACTCTAAATACATCATAAACAAAATATTTATTAGGAAAGCTTCATTAGCATGCATTTCATTCTGATAATAAGGTTTAGGAATTTAAATTAATATCAGTGTTATTCGAGAACATGGCTATTAACATTTAATAATGTTTAGCATTTATATAGTCCTTTGTGTTTCCAAAGTACTTTAGCCATTAATTAATTAAACCCCAAATTATCATTGTGGGCAGGTTCCGCTCATGGTTTCCTCAGTTATAAAATTATATTCATTAAGTATTTTAACTTTTCCAGCTAGAAGTTCTCATTAGCAGTAAATGTCTTGGAAGTTCTGTCTTGCAGTCAGGTTGATTGTCTACCCAGACAAGAATCCGTCAATGGATGCCTATCAAGGATTCTATTCATGACCTGTGAGGGCCAGAGATGGGCAGCTGGCAAGACAAGGGAACTCGAAATTGTCACGGAGTGTCTGGGTTTCTGTTCTGCTAGTTTTATTGCAGGTGCTCAGATTCCATTACCACACACTGAGATACCTGTCAAGGTCATCCTTAAAGGCCAGGCTTTAAAATAGAATCCATACTTAGTATTTATCCAGCTAGGATATGTCACACACAAAAAGTACTCTCTGATTTAAAAAGGGATAGATGGAGGGGAGGGAGAAAAGGAGGAAGAGAGAAGGAGGAGGAAGGAGGAAGGGAGTGAGGGAGGGAAGAGGGAGAGAAGGAGAGAGAGAAGAAGGCAGAGAGAGAGAAAGAGAGAGGGAGGAAGGGGGAGGGAAGGAGAGGCAGAGCTTCTAGCAAGAAAACTTACTTGGAGGAGAGGGCTAAACTGTCATCTTGAGAACACAATGAAATTTAACTGGACACTGTCCCTAACAGCATGCTTTGGCCCCTCACAATGGGTATTAATAACTTGGGCCTTAACAGTGACCTGGCCAACCTTATGGGAACTGTCATACAAAAAGACTTCTCAATTGGTGTTGGTTCCATCCAGAGAGAAAATGTCAAGCAGGTG